CCTGGGGCCAAGCTTCCTGCCACAGGTGAAGTCAGAAGAGGAGGTGCCCACCTACCCTGGCCATCTAGGGGCCCCATCTCCCAGCAGCCGCGATGTGGATGACTACAAGCCAACGATGTGGGCCAAGACCCAGGTTCCCTGTCTGGCCACGAGGCTGACCTTCAGTTGGCCCCTGCACCCTTGAGCCTCAGATTTCTCACCTGTTGCATGGGGACAGTAGTCCTACATGTAACACATGTGGTAGTCCTAAACTACAGTTTTAGATGATCCAAGTATTAAAGATGGAAAACCTTCTTGAGAGCTGCAAAGGGCTGCACATGCTATTAACAGTCCATATATTCAGACTACCCTGAGATACAGGTGTCAAAAATAGTAACAGTAGTAACAGAAATAGCAGTTATGATGAAAACCACGATTTATTGAGTAACTGCACTGTGCCAGTCACTATACTAAGAACTTCCGTAAGTGGTTCTTCCCTGATCCTTAAAATAGCCAGAGAAGGGAGAGTGTATCGTGTCTAATTTTCAGAGGACCCTGGGGCCCAGAGAGGTTAAGTGACATGCCCTGGGTCACACAGCAAGGTAGAGGCCAAATGACATTTACACCCAGCCTCACTGGACACTTGAGCTGAGATCTTAATCACACCTCATCTCTCTGAAGGGTGTACTTATCAACCTCATAATCTGGCCAAGTATTCACAGCATCTCTTGTTTACTGAGGTTTTATTTGCTCCCCCCAATAAAGAAGGCTGGCAGACTGGGAGCTGCTTCTCTGAATGGATTGTTTTAAATCCTCTGCCTCTGAAAGCGGAGGCAGGGGCTTCCCAGGGAGGTGTCACACCATTCCTTGGTGCCTGAGGGCTGTCACTGATGACAAGTGGGAGCTTAAATTAGGACAATTTCTGAGGGTCAGTGGCTTGGCATTAGGGCCCAGCATCTTAAAAAGGCACAGCTCCTTTATGCTAGAAATTTCAATTTCTTGACTAGATCAATGTATAAAGACACCCAGTAAAAGATGTTCAGTGCCTTCAGCTTTGCAAATTGAAAAAGATCAGGAGATCGGTTGCACAACTGAACTGCAGGCTTAAAAATGATTAAGATGGTAAATTTTGGTATGTATTTTACCACAATTAAAAATAGAAAGGAGAAAAAAAGATGTTCATAGCAAAGTGGTTTATAAGAAGAGAAACTGCAAGCAGCCAATCTCCCATCACTAGGAGATTAATTAAATAAATGATGGTCTTCCCAACAAATCAAAACAAATTAGAACAGGAGGTCAGCAAACTGTGGCCCCCAGGTCAAATCCAGCAGCAACTTGTTCTTGTAAATAAAATTTTACTGGCACACAACTACACCCACTCATTTGCATATTGCCTACAGACTGTTTTAGCTACAACTGACTGTGTTTTAGCTACAACCACAGAGGTGAGACCAGCAGAGGAGACCAGTGGAGGTGAGAACACATGGCACACAGCCCAAAATATATCCCAGCCAACCCCCCAGCCCTTTAAGAAAGGTTTACTGAGCCCTGACTTAGAAGACCAAAAACCCAGAAAAGTGCTTAGAGACATATGGGGGTGGGAGTGGGGTGCAGGATCACATATACAGTCTCATTGTGAGTTCAATTTCAGAAGGAAAACTTTAAGCAAGTATATTTACCTATGTTTCTAAATGCAATTAGATGGTTATCTCTAGATAGTTAGAATAAGGATTAATTTTTGTTTCTTCTTTCGACCTTTCTGCACTCTCCAAATTTTCTGTATTAAAAATATTTTACTTACCAACATTAGAGGAAATAATTTTGTAACCCAATAAAAGGGCTAGCTAATGCTACTATGGTAATCATATGCAATATAAATGCATCAAGTCAGTATGGCTTACACTTTAAACTTATACAATGTTGTAGGTCAAATATATCTTAATTTAAAAAAATGTATTACTTTTCTCAATAAATAATAAATACCAACTTTCTCATTGTCTTGGCCCTTCAAAGGGGCAAGTCTTAAGGTTGCTGCTCTTGCAAAACAGGTCTTGGGTCTGGTATTAACACCTGATCCCGGCCACAGCTGACACCCTACTGGTGGTGTAGGGGGACAAGACCCTCTTGCTTAAGACCCACCAAGGAGGACGGATCTGATTTTCAGCTGAGGGTGAGGGGTCTGCTCTGGGGAGATTAAATGAGAAAATTCACTGATGTGCTTGGTACTGATTTTACTAGGCCTACTGGGTGCTTCAAATCTCCAGTGAAGACACAGTGACCCTGGCCCCTGATCCCGTGGCCGCTGCCTTTCCATTCCTCCTGGGTGCTGTTCCTGCTCCTTTTCACAGGTGGGAAAGCCAAGGCTCAGGCTCAGCGACTCTACCCTCAAGGTCACACAGCTGGCACAGAGCTGAGTCGGGATTTGAACCCAGGGCTGTCTAACTCTCCAACTCTCCACCTCTGTGAACTTTCCACTACATGGGTTGTCCCAGCAGGAAAAACATTTGACTAGTTCATTAAAAACTCAGAAGTCTGCTGAACGGCTGACAAACACCGACATATCAGTCATCTTCCCAATGCATACGCCCGTGAGGGGCTGCTAAGTAATTATCACCCCCTTTCTCAGACGGGAGCCTGGAGGTCTCAGCTAAGAGGGCTGCATACCTGCTAGTGCTCAGACTTCAGGGTTGACAGCTTATGTTCCCTCAAGATACCCACCTCCAAGTCCCGCTGCCGGCCGTGGCAGGGGGTCAGGGAGCCCTTTCAGAGAGTAAAACAGGCAGGCAGCTTGGAGGAGGTGTCAGACAGGCCTGAGAGCAAACCCACCTCTCGGCCTCCACTGCTTCTCCTGTAAAATGGGCCCCCACCCAAGTATGGACAGATCAGCAGGCTTCAGAGAAGAATAACAGTGGCTGGCTTCTGTTTATTGCCTATAAAGCCACCAGCCTGGGTGGGGGCCCGGCCCCTTGCACAAGACTCTCTTTATCTGGAAGCAGAACTCATATTCCAGCTTCACAGCAGCAGGCACCTGGCTTCCAGGCTGCCCTGGGCTACTCATTAACCAGTGTGAGGCCTTGGGAAAGGGCCTGACCAGAGTCTGTTCCCAGCTGGGAGGGGTGGGGGCAGTGCTGGGTGGTGTGGGCACCAGGGCCACATCAACAGGGGTTCAAATCCTTCCTAACCCTGTGACCTTGCAGGGAGTCAACTCAGCATCCAAGTCTCAGTTTCCCTATCAGTCTAATGGCGATGGTCACAGTGCCCACCTCACAGGGATCCTCCTCCTCTGCAGGAGTCTATAAGGCACCTCACAGTGTCTAACACAGAGTAAGCACTCAATAAATGTATCTTGCTATTTTTACAAAAAGAACAACTGCACCCATATATGGGACTATTGTAGAATAAAATGCCTTCCTGTATATTAAACCTCTCGGTGTCATGCTGGGTGTGCTGTTAAATAGTTCAACGAATGTTAGTGATCACTCTTATTGACCTTTATGATGATCACTGACCATGACTCTGGTGGCTGACATGGAATGGGTATCTCCAATGCCCACTTGGAAGCTGGTCAGGGAGGTGTCCTGAACCACCGGGGACATGCCTGCCTCATCTCCACATCTGATGTCACAACATGAGAGCAGTCTCCACGGGGTCTGGTCGCCAGGGGCTGCTCACAACAAAGCATCCCAGCTTGATGATGAGGATGAAATCCAGTCACCCCTGGCAGTGGCAGGCCAAGGGTCTCCAGGACTCTTCCTGTAGTCCTAGCTTCCTAGGTCACCCCAAACCAAGTCAGCCCCAACCCTGGACAAGTGAGAGCTTGATAGGGGCACTATGGACCCCCCACTCCATGAGACATTTCTGCCCAGGAAGGCAGGTTTTCAAACCCCAGAGCAGAATCTACTGGTGGGCCAGGGCCATCATTTTATATCTATCATTTTATAAACAAGAACAGAACAAAACAGGACCTTGCAGATGGTGAAGATATGAGTTACTACTTTGTGAAACTTTGGTTTCAGTTTCATGCAGTGTGTACATATGCAAGTACACGTGGCATCCTGTCATCGAGTGTATTTCTTACTGTCATGACTAAGTGACTCTGGAAGCCCCTCTAGCCAGGGTGTTTTAAAGCAAGCTGAAGACCACATACGCAAAAAAGTGACTGAGTCAGGTTCCTGCCCTCATTAAAGCCCTTTTAGAAACACCATTGTGCTCCTGATCTAGAAAAAAAAAAGACTTCTGTAAATATGAGACTATTGGCACAATGTCATTAAGGTCTGTAGATTAGATAACAGAATTGTGTCAATGTTAAATGTCCTGGGGTTGATCATTGTGTGTGCTTATATAAGAGGATGAATGGCCTTGCTCTTACGAAACACATGCTGAAGGATTAGGGGTAAAGGGCCATCATGCCTGAATTTACTCCCCAATGATTCAGCAAAAAAGAAGTAGAAGAATATTAATTTGACTGTCTTTATTGTAAATATAGAAAGAAAGAGAAGCAGCCAATGCAGCAAATACTAACAATGGAGAAGATCTAGGTGAAGGGTGTGCAGAAGATCACTGTAATGTTCGTGTAACTTCTCTGGAGGATTTTAAGTTTTTAAAAATAAAAATCTCAATAGAAAAACAAGTGGGATACCAGCCCCAATCCCTGGAACTTGGGAACTAAGCAGCTCACCCTTTCATATGCATCTGACCACAGTCCTCAGAATCAACTCAACTCAGCTAGGCTGTCACTGCTTGGGGGCAGAGCCGGGATGGGGTCCAGGCCAGGCCTCCACAATCAGGGCTCAGCCCATTTGCAGGGCTGCCTCCAGCACACAGGTGGACCTAAGTGGCCAAGCCGGGCCATGCACCCACCACCCAGAGGTGCCATGTGAACAAGGTCATGGGGCTTTAGATGTTCTCTCTCCTCTTCCTAGAGACTGGAGGAGACACTGAGATTCCTGAGTGCCCCATCTCAGGTCACCGAGGCACAGCAATGAGACACTAATGCCACGGGGAGGTCAAATGCCACTTACGTTTTGGAGCCTCCTCAGAAAGGGCTGTTGTTCTGGACCTGTTGAAATGAGGGGAAGCAAAGGAGAGTAGAGATGTGGTCAGGTTGTGACTACACACGGGACTCAGTCTTCTTCCACGTGTAACCACCCAAGTCAAACACACTGGGAGGGGCTGAATCAACACCCAGTGGGGATGGGGATGGTAAAACTGGGGTGCCCAGGCACTCCCGAACACAAGCACATGCTCACACACCCAGATACACACTGACCCACGTGTTCATGCATACTCACACGCTTGCTTGCACACCCCTGCCCAGGATGCAGTGTCCCTGAAACTATCGAGGGCAAGGACCACAGGAGAGGGAGGCTCTTCTTGCTGGCTGTGAACAGGTAAGCCACCTCCCCAGCACCTAGCCTAAGTCCACGTTCCTGCAGGCCCCCCACGGGCCCAGTCACGCGCCCAGGTCCATGACTGGGTGTTCTCTGTGAGCACTGGACGCACCAAGGCTAGACAGAGGCTGAGGGAGGCCCTGGGGGCCCCAGAATCTAGGAAAACAGGATACTTATCAAGTGGTTGGTGGTAAGGCTCATTGTGCCAAGAAAATCTGTTGAACCTTGCTAAGTTAAGCAGTCCCTGAATGTGATTGACCCCAGAAGCCTTTTTTGTTTTTTTTTAAAGAAATATAGAACACCTCCTGTTCTTTGGAACTTGGTTTGGGAAAATAGTCCAAGAGGGGACAGATTCCCTCTGCATCTCATTCCACCAGCAGAGCTGTGCTGGAAGGCTATCCTGGTTTCCTGGATATAAGAATGCATAAAACCAGGAAATGGTTTGTTATCAACAAAGATCTTACATTTCAATGAAGTCAAATGGATCAGCAGAGAAGGATAGGGGGTACCCTGGGAGGGCAGGGGCCTGAGGGAGGGAGCACTTTTTTCCTCACTGGACCTGCAAACCTGCCTTTTCCTCAGACTCAGAAACACGGCCCCCAGCAGTCTACAGAGCTCCCTGTGCCCTGAATCAAACCACCTCACTGCTACATTAGGGTCCTACATTCAACAGGTTCACACAGATGACTTCTGTGTCTAAGGCGTAAGTGGGGTACAAACATTCAGTAACTTGTTGGGCACCTACTATAGGCCAGGCACTGTTTTGAGGATTGAGAACACAGCAGTGAACAAGACAGATGAGGTCCCCGCTTTCATGGAGCCTGGAACACTGTGGTAAAGGCCAACACATCACAAAGATGCTCTGGAGGTTTCATTTTCTGGATGGAGCAAGGCTCTGTGAAGGCTGGGGGGGATTTGTAATGTCTGCAATGGGTGCAGGCAGTGGAAGTAGCAATGTATGCTTTGCCAACCCAGACTATACCACGGGAAGGGGGACAAAGGTAAAGATAAGGTGGCATGTTTAACGCACAATTAATGATAAGCACAATGCTGAGGGAACCAGAGGAAGGTGGGTAATTCTAACCTGGGGTGAGACCTCAGCAGTTCCATGAGGCCAATGCAGCTCAGAGCAGAGGATAAGAATAGCATTAAGTCCCTGTGGATCTAACCTGCTGGCACTCATGCCGCCTCTGAGGTCAGACCGCATCTATCCACATGAAGACCCCCACATGCACATTCTCAGGCCATGGGATTCTGTGTGGGTCAAGCCCACCTCCTCTTTCCAGGGTGGGCAGGTGAGCAAGGCCCAGCCAATCACTCAGTTGTCTCAAGGACAGGCACATGACCAAGCCTGGACAATGAAGATGATTGACAGGAACTTATGCTAAAAATACTGGCAGGAAGAAAAAAGAAGGCTCTTTCTAGGCTGAGATGACTATGCTGGGAGGGAGAACACCCTGTGCAGCTGGGACAACAGACCAGGAATATGGTGCCCAGAAAAGACGAGAAAGAAAGTTTCGATGACAGCTCTCAGCACCAGGATCCAGCCATACCTGAAGGCTTCCTCCAGCCATGACCCTTGGGCTTTTCTATTTAAGTAGTCAGTAAAAGACTTTTTTTAAGTTAGTTTGAATTGATTTCTGCCACTTGCAACCCTAAGAATTTGGACCTATATCCCCTGCCTTAAATGTGCTCTGTAATTTCATGCTTGCCCCCTTATCTGATACTCAGGCCATCAGAACAATGGGGCTCAGATGAAATGACTTCTTAAGTCCTACAGCAGCCCTGGCAGGCTAGCTACCAGGAGCCTATAGTTAAGGTTAAGATTGACTCTCCCTGACCCCAGGGCATTTGGCCAGAGATGGTGAAATCGTTCTCAAAGTTAAGCCTGAAGGGCTTATTAAAACACAACGCTGGGCCCCACCCCCAGGCCCTGAGTCAGCAGGTCTGGGTGGGGCCATGGACTAGGCATTCTAACAAGCTACCAGGGATGAGCAGACTGTACATCCAGTCACCACATTCTGAGGACCCAGATTCCAGATCTGTTCTACTTTTCCCAGTTGCCTGTGGCAGGTGCCCAATGCAAAAGCAAAGCCCCAGCCAGGCTAGAGACCACAGCCCTTTGGTCCTCAAAGCAGACCCCCAATTAAGGGAAGTGTCTGTGTAATTAATTGAAAGGATGAGCCAGTCTTTAAACAACGAAAGAACCAGGTCCCAGCTTATGCTCACCCCATTGCCAACCCTTCCAGCCAGCAACCCTGGGATTTATACATAATGGGGAAGCTGTGAGAGTGACCTGGTGCCTCCTTGGGCTCCAGCAGGCCCCACACTGGTCTTCCAGAAGCTGCTTGCACCCCCCAGTAGCTCCCTGCACCAGGCAGCAGGCCAGCACCAAATCCCGCTGCAGGCCTGCTCCTGACACACTGCCTCGGGCCGCCCTGCTGTCAGCATGGCCTGGCTGGCCCTGGGCTCTCCCTGATTTACATCTGAGTTGGCTGCCTTAAAAAGTCTCCTGTGGCTTTTGGACCGTGGACACTGCAGAAAACGGCTTCCCCACCAGCATCCTTCCAAGGTGGCGCTGGCCCAGAGGGCCTGGCCTGGCTCAGCCACCTCCCAGCTGTGTGACCTTGGGGAAATTCTCTGCTCTCTCTGGGGCCTCAGCCTTTCACATGCAAAATGGGAATAATGGTATCTTTTGTGATGATTAGAATGATGGTTAACAAGGCACAGGGCCTAGCTTACAAAGTGTAGCTTGTGCCCAATAGCTCTCATTTACCTCCTTTATCGAAGAGCTCCCAGACCAGCAGCCTGACATTGCCAAGAATTTGGTTAGAAATGCAGAACCTTAGGCCCCACTTAAGTAAGTCCTCCTGCAGGTAAATGGAGCATTTTAATGAGATCCTAAATGAGGTCTACAGCTTCCAGGCCTGAGCCGTACTGACGTGCATGTCGTCCCGTTACTGCAGCACTCCAGGACAAGGCCCAGACGTACCAACACCCTCCAGGCCTGGCAGAAGGGCAAGCAGGGGTCAGAGGTAGTGAAGGAGGTAATGTTATGAGAAGGAAGAAAAAGTATTCAGTCTCAGCCTCCTAATTTATGATGAGCCCCTAGGCAGCCCAGGGGAGAGAAAAGTCCTGCAGTGAGACTTGCCTATAAGTAGGTACTCATCGCCAGACTTAACTCACAGGCTCAGCCAAGGCAACAAAATATACTGGAAACATTCCAGGTGTCAGTTTCGGGCTTTTGGCAGAGTCCCGGTGTCTCTGTTCCTCTCCAGAGAAGACTGAATCTTTTGCATTCAAGGAGGCAAATTACCCTGTCTACCTAGAGGGTACCACCAAACTCACAGCAGAGGCCGGCAGAGGGGCTGCCCTGAAGGTACATGCCTCAGTCTGGCGCAGGGGGCTAGGGGGGTGCTGCAAGCCTCATGGGGAGCAGGGTGTGGGCTGCCTGGATTGCCCCAGCTCCAGCCTTGAACTGCACCCCCCAACATCCCACCCCCGCTGTGGAAGCCCTATGGGTCCCCCCTGGAGGGCTGAAAAGGGGAAGCCTAAGGGGTTGATGCTCATGAATCGCTCCCAGACTATGCAGTCAACCTTGTTGAATGAATAGCACAAGAATGCTTCCCTCCACCTGCCCAGATGCACTGGCAACACAGTCCTGTGCCTCCAGGGCCCACTGGGGAAGCAGTCAGTGGGCTGGGGGCACACTGTCGAGTCCGGGGTTGGAGATGGGGGTGCTGCCGGTACATTCAGGGGAACCGGATAACCAGATGCAGATACAAAAAAAAAAAAAAATCCCGTGTTGAAAAATATTGGCTCAAATTTTTTAAACTCTGTGTGGACAACACAAAACATACCTTTGGCCCTGAGCTGCCCCTGGAGACCATTTTGCAGCAACTGCTATAATTTTTTCAGGCCTGGGGCTCAATCTACACCTTCCACTGGTGAGAAGCCAAGGACGGAAACAGATTCTGCTGAGTACCGCGGGAGAAAGGCTGCCAGGTTTGGGGGCAGGGGGTTCTTTCTTTTTTTTTTAAAGGTCTGTTCTGATCTATGTTCTTCTAATAATGGTGGAAGAAAAACTCACCTTGTTCCCCAAGAAAATCTTTTTTACCAAAATCTCATTGCTACAGCTCTGCTCAGAGCATCTCCACAACTCCAGTCCCCAAACTGGGGTGCCTCCTGTCAGAGTGCAGGCTAAGACAGCTTGAAAACCAACAGGACAGCAATCTCACTCTTACAGGGGGCCCGCCGGAGCAGCACCCCACATGTGCAGTGGGGACGTGTACTCCCTGACAGAGAGAAGGAAAGATCTTTCCCCCTTTTACTCAGCAGGTGTTTCCCCCAAACATGGTTTCCTTACAGGTTAGGACTGAGGACCCGAGGGTGGAAAGGACTTGCCTAGCTCACACAGCTCGCCAGTGGTCAGGGGCATCAAACCCTGGTGTCCCGGCAGCCTCCTGATCATTCATTAAATTGTTTTGTGGTTAGCGCCAGGAGGGCATGTGTCCATCCTTTTCAGCCCCTGTATACCCAGGGCCTAGATAGAACAAATAAACATATTTGGTGGAAGCATGATGAGGAATATAATTTCCAAGCCTGGACCCACTCACATGTTTAAGACACAGGCTCTCATCTCAGGGCAGAGGAAACCAGACCCTTTATC